CAAAAAATAAAATAGAACTTTCTTGCGTAAGCTAAATATTCCAGCAGTAATCAGCCATCATATTTGTATTCCAGTACCCGTGGTATCATTCTTCCATAATGATATTATCCTGATGGAATCGCCCTCCTTGCTCTTTGAATAAATCATCCAGATTTTCAATAAAACGAACCAAATAGCTGAAGCTAAAATGCAGTTTAATGCTCATTTTGTAGCATTAGTTGCTCAATATGTTGATGGTAATCGGCCGACTTTTTATTTCCCAAGACATTTTTTAGTACCTATATAAACTCATTCCTTGTAGATTCTTCAACTTATGTCATGCAGTTAGTGAATTTTGAATCATTTGTTAATATTCTTATCTGAGCACCATCAAAAATCCTGGCTCTTGTCTTTTCAGTGCTCAATGTTGGAAACATTTTTGTAATCAAACATTCCCCATAATTTTTCTTAGCATATAAAACAGCTTATAAAAATGGAAATTGATTTTATTTTTTCCTAAACTAAGAATATTGTATTCTTTTTGAATGTGCAATAGGCAGTGTATTGCCATTATGCAAGAGTTCACATTTAAGACTACATTTCGATGAGTCTATAAATAAACGGCAATCATTTGAATCATAGTTTTGTAATTTTATTGTAGCAAGAAATACAGAACTGAGACATTTATGTTTGGTATTACTAGATTTATTTCTCTCAACCGAGAAGCTAGAAGTTCTGATGCTTTTTAAGACAATCCAAGATCTTTGATCAAGTTATCTTGACCATTTTGATTATAGGTTCTAAACGGCATTTAAAGTTATTAGCCTTACCATCATAATTTTCTTTTGTCTTCTCAACGTTCTTGAGATTTTTAGATAGATACACTGAGTTGTGATACTAATTCATAACTAGAACATATTTTAAGCTAGGAAAAATCCATTTTAAACGATTTTTGGGATTAATATCGATAATATTCGCTGTCTAATGGCAGACTTTAATTTTATGAACTTAAAAATTCTTTAGGTTTACCCTGGACAGATGAAACTCTAATTCAACTTTGGAAGGGAAATTCGTTGCATCTAACTAAATTCAACTCTGACTAACAAATACACTGTTTATTCCATCATTGGAAACACGAAACAAATAACTTTTTATATACATACACAATAAGGCTCTCATATCTTTCTAAAATTTACTACATGACTTAACTAAGTGTCACCTCGGAGATTATTTACAGGGTAAGACACTTTAGATAGCGTTTGATTAACGGATTACATGGAAACTAGATGTTAGTACTTTTAGGTTAACTGAACTTCGATAGGATGTCGATTTCACGACAACTTTCTGTTGAACGGCTGCCGTGGAAGTGATGAAAGCGGCGAAAATTTCTAGTTGATTCTTGTGTGAGTGGGCGTGGCGTTGCTAGTGTCTGGAATATTCCAATGAATTATCTTTTAAATTCGATGAGAGGGAGCGAGAGCAATTATTTTAACTTCCTATAAGTTAGGTTGAGGATTATGCGTGATTACAGAGACGGTGATTTGTGAGATTCAGCGGAAAGGTGGGCAATTGGGTATTGTGAAAACGGCACTAAATAGTACAAAATGTAAATTTATCAAGCAATACCGTTGCACAATATTACAAACTGAAAAAACAGTTCAAAATGAATAAAACAATTTAGGAAAGGATAATTACCTTTTCAAAATGTCAATTAACGTACGCTCGATAACCGTATCGCGATTCTCCATCTCTCTCCCCATGTTCGAACAGGTTTTCTAGTAGGTGGCGCATCTTCGAAAAAGCACATGGGCTGCATTAAGAATATGCAGGTTATAATACGAGATAATGCGTATGAAGAAACGTGGCAGAATTCTGTTCATATGTGCATATGTGACCTTTGGCACGCGTCAAGAGGGCAATATATTTAACTTTTATTATATTTAGGGCTGAGTGAGGCTGTCTAAAGTCGCTGTTTGTTTGATGGGAAATATGCATTTTTTAAATGTATGGGTAGACCGAGATAAGCTATTTCAAAGATAAACATTTTTTAAATGTACGAGCTTAACTCAAATGAATTAAACATGGGTGGTCTACACAAAATTATGTTTGAATTTAAGATTTTAATCTAAAATTTAAACATTTACAACACAACAATAACGGTCATCGTGATGATTTAATGATTTACGCCAGATAGTTGGACCTTTGTACTTAAAAGTGCGTCTTTTTATGTCCTCATAAACTCAGACTAGATACAGCTTCTACACACCAAATTTGGAATTCGCGGTTTAATATTTATTTCTAATGGCTTCCGAAATCAGTCTATATAGGCTTGTTCTACAAAGTCAGACACGTCAGCTAAATTCTCTAATTATGTACTCACCACAAATAAAATACTGTATGCAAAAACTAATACTAATAGTTGACTACAGTTCATCAAATTTCTAGAGGCTTTCGACGGCTAGAAAGAGAAAGCACTACTGAGAGGCATCGGTTGGCGGGGCCGACGGATTTTCGCAATGAAAGTACACTCTGCGCATCAAGTATTTCACTATTTTATTCAGACGTAAATGTCAGATGTAAATTTCGCTGAAACATTTCTTTTATTTTCGTTTGTGTTTTTTGCTCATTACAGTTTAATAGAACCTAAGTATGGAGTTTAATAGCAAATTAAGAGGCCGCGTGATTAACAGTCAATCTCGCGAAATAATAGCCAATATTATAGAGTTTATGAGAAGAGAAGGAAACTTTAATTCACCTTCAATACCATTTAAAAATGTAAATGATCGTGTTGCTGCAGCCACAAGAGTATATTAAAACACTGTCGTCCGCATTTCTGGAGAGAAAAAGAATCGATAACCGTGAGATATCGGAATTTTCATCACCAAGAAAAACCATTAAAAAACCAAAAACAGTTAATGATATAGATGAAGAATTATTCTGTTCATGTTAATCTCGGAAAATATTGTTCCAACATTAAAAACAATTCTGACTAAATTTAGAGAAGCTACAGGGTACAAAGGAAGCTATGAAAGTTTAAGAAAAATAATAAAGTCGCTAGGATTTCGTTGGAGGAAAACAAAAACAAACAGAAAAATATTAATGGAAAGGTTTGATATTCAAAAGCTACGTTTAGACTATCTGATTCGTTTAAAAAGTTATCGAGCAGAGGGCCGTCCAATTGTCTACTTAGATGAAACATACATTCATGCCTCCCACACACACCAGAAAGCTTGGAGTGATAATTCAAATGAGGGATTAAAGATACCAATTAATAAAGGTGATAGACTAATTATTGTCCATGCAGGAGGTGAAGTGGGCTTTATTCCGAATGCCCGGTTAATTTTCAAATCTGGAACCAAAAGTGGAGACTACCACGATGAAATGAATTTTAATAATTTTTCTATATGGTTGAAAGAAAAGCTGTTTCCGAACCTCCCTCCAAGAAGCGTCATTATTGTTGATAATGCTCCTTACCATAATGTCCAGGTAAATAAAGCACCAACGTCAACTTCTAAAAAAGCTGACATGCAGGATTGGTTAAGGAATCATAATATTGCTTACGAAGAGGATATGCTCAAAACGCAATTATACAGTTTAGTGCTATTGCATAAGTCACGATTTAAGAGGTATGCAATTGAAGAAATGATAAATGAACATGGTTTTAGTTGTTTGCGTTTGCCACCGTATTATCCCGATCTTAATCCGATCGAATTAGTGTGGGCATCATTGAAACAATATGTAGCTAGTAACAACACTACATTTAAGAGGCATGACGTACAACTGTTGTGTGAAGACTTTTTTGATACGTTTTGTAAAGAGGAGTGGCAATCTCGTTGTAATAATGCTAAAATGTGGGAATCTAAATCTTATGACAGAGAATTTACTTTGGATGAGGCAACTGATAGATTTATAATTAACTTAAACAGTGACAGTGAGACTGATTTTGAATCTGATATGGAAACTGAAGAACGTTTTTCGGAAGACCATTAAAATTATATCTGTACCTAAGATCAAAAAAGTATTATCTATTTTTACAACGAAGATGCACAAGAATCAAATTTTATGTTTTTATTATTAGATAGCTATTTACAGGCTCAATTTTTTTCCGTTTCTTCTTTTTGATTTTATATGGGGTTTCAAGTTGTTTTTGACTTATTTCGACGTAAATCACAACAACACACTTTTTTAATAAAGCAAACAAGTGTTAAGAGGTATATGTACGTGTAAACTACAATTACAAAAAATTGATATGAAACCCATGAAACCACCAACAAAAATGTAAAGCTAGCTTCCGTACTAGAACATGGTGTCATTCGTCGAGATAATTTATCGTTTTGTTTAATAGATCAAGAAATGTAAATATTCCCCTGTTATTTTTTATAAAATTATAAGAGAAATAAATTTTTTTCTAAATAGTATAGTTTATTATTTTGTAGAAAAACAAAATTTCGAAAATTTTAGTAATGTTTCAGAAACAACCGTTATTAATAATAGGTACCATTTTCCTTAATAAGGTAGAAATAAAATATAAACTATTTCCACGATTTACAAAGGCCTACAAAAAAATTATAGGTATTTTCCGCTATCCTATAAAATTTATATTTTCTGACTCAATTTCAAAAGGTTGAAGGAATTCCAAAACACCTTTTATGGCATAATAATTATTTTCAATTATACATACTATCTTTAGCTGCTTTTAAAAACGTTCTAAGAAAGTCCAATCAGACCAATTTAATCCCTAAACTATTCCACGCTTTTAAAATTTAATTACCTAAAAATATTAAAAACTATTTAAAATAACTTGTTTAGCAGACTGTACAATAGCTATCTTAGTCACACGTAGCGCGTTCTGTCTGGGCGTCGAACACCTCTAGAAATTTGATGAACTGTAATATAATAAAAAAAAATTGGTTTTTCTGGAAAATAAAATTTAAGAATATTCCCATATAGTTTAGAAAATGAGCTACATACAAGTAGGTATATGCACCTGAATGTATTAAATTTTCTCACTTTGTTTTCAGTCTGAATTAAGCCTTTGCCTTGACGAATCAGATATTAAAACCAAAGTCAACGATGATAACGATGTATATGACTTCGGTTTTTCGAGCAGTACCAGTTTCAATAGTAGCCCAAGGTTACAATATCGGTCAAACAAAATCAATCCATACCTTCCTAGTCTTAGCAATCAAACAAGCCGGGTAAGTAATTTAAGACGTAACTATACATAAATACTTCAGATGAGAGTAACCACTAAATAACTATTGTATTTTTGAATTACAACCAAGTTTGGCCAGTGAACACAGAAATTATTTTAGAACTAATTTAATATAGAAGAAGAATAAAAGTTTATAGATTTTGGAATTATACTTGTTCATTATTTTAGGTTCATTTGACAGATAGTAAGCCAGATTTGCTTGAAGCTGTGGAAGAAAAAGTGGTATGCGACGTAGATTGATTCGTTGGCAGAGTTAAATTATTTAATCAATAAACAACTTTTTTTATGAAAAGTTACTTTTGGAAATAATTCTGTGGTTGAATGGCCGAAAAACATTAGCAATAAAAGTTTGCGATTAGAGATTTATCTCTTCATTTGAATCATTTTAGTCATTTTCAAGATGTCTGGGAATTTGAATACTCCCGAAAACCAGTACTGTTGAGAATTTTAACCGCTAGGTGCATTTTAACCATTAAGGGTGAGATTACAGAACGTCTGCAACTTTGCAGATCTGCAAATATGGCGGCAACGTTGCAGATCTGCAAATATGGCGGACTTATCCAAAAAATATCTGCAAATTCGCAATATTTATTACCCCTAACAACACTAAATCCAAATCCACCCTTAAGAAGGTTAGAATAACATCCTACAACCATGAAGTCTTCTGTTTCTTTTGATTGAATACAGTTCATGGTGTCAGATTATCGAGTTTTTAAACATAGTAATGAATTTGGGTTTAGTATTGTTGGGGATAATAAACCATAATAAATATTGCGAGTTTGCAGAACTTTTTTGGAATACGAAAACTTGATACATGCACATGTAAGTCCGCCATATTTGCAGATCTGCAAAGTTGCCGCCATATTTGCAGATCTGCAAAGTTGCAGACGTTCTGAAATCTCACTCTAATCTGTTAACTGACGGTTTATAAATGCACCTTTACGATTTTAGCAGTTTTCCTTACTCCCGCCGGTGACAGGATTTTTATTTAATTTTGGTAATTAAATATAAATTCTAATGCATAGATGTGATTCTCAATTCGAATATTTACTGTTGGGTTCTAATTAACAGTGAGTTTCGTAAAGTGGTACTGGAAATCAGTAACAAAGCCTACACAGAACACAAGGCTAATAACCATACCAGTTGATGCCTATGACACAAAAACGTAGACAATAATAGAATGTGTTAAGAACTCTGTCATCTATCATTGCGCCAAAGTTCGTATCAGGGGTAAAAATCTGGTATTTTCGGGAAAAAAATGGTGGTATATTTTTAACCTGTCAGAAGTGTAATCATGACATTCAGTTTATTTTATCTTTTATCAAGTGAATAATAGGACTTGGGTATAATTTTCAACATGTACCTATTTATTATAAACAATACAAACAATATAAACGCCTTTAAATATTAATTTAAAATTTGGTGACCAATATGCTCTTTAAGAAAGTAATATTTTGATATAAACTAACTTTTACCAGTGGCTATCAAGGTTATTGGTAATTTTCCCCCCTATTTTTTACGCCATTGGAATAAATATTATTTATTTTTTTGGAATCATATGGCATATGGCAAGTCTAATTAATGGGGTTATGATGGACAAGTAATGTTATTACTAACAGGCACGTTATTTGTGAACAGGTTGTTATTTCTGTGTGTTTATAGAATAACAGACCTGTTAAAAATAACACAGATTGTCAATCAAAGGAAACTCTTTCATTCAATTTCAAACAAGGTTAATTAAATTGAATCTCTCATATACACCACCTCTATTTTCTAAATTTTTTACATCCTGTAGAATTTGTAATCTTACAGCATCATCTAAATCATTATCATCGTCATTAAAAGCCCCTAAAACTAAAATTTTCTTCATAACTAACAATACTTTTCTCAAAAAGTACCTACGGTTGTAAAGTTGTAGATACGTTTACGTCAATGTTTTTGCTTTAACTATTGTTTTCTTTCAGATTACACGTTTAACGTTACATCAATTTCTACGTTTCCATCAGAGAGATAAGGATACGTATACGTATTATCGAGATCGAGTGTAGTGAAATGAATAAAATTACTAAAAATACAGAGTGTAGACAACCAGTAATACATTGGTGTTACAAAATCTAATAAAAGCCGTTTCACGTTTCAGTTTTCTATAATAAAAACTTAATTTGTTGACCATTACATTTTTCATGTTTCGTTACAATAGTGAGTGATTCGTGATTATTTCTCATACACTTAATAAGTTAGTAATGTTGAAAATTACATACTAATTTTATTAATTGAAAAAGCTAAAATAAACTGATTTTCTTTTCTGACGGACAAAATAGAAGTTGCTATTTTTTGCAAAACAGTTGTTTGATTGCACTTTAAATAACCCAAAAAAACTGATTTATGGTAGGTATTTATACCAATTTAATGTAATAGAAAAAATAGAAACTAACAGAATGAACCTTTTGCCGGTCAACGTTGCACCATCTCGCTTTAATTATTATACAAAATCTCAAGTGCCCTATGCCTTTTTGAACAAAGCGCAAAGAATATGCCATATGTGTGCGGCGTTGCCGGTTTTAAAATAAAGTCTAAAACAATAAGACTTAACAACAGTGTTCCACTATTCCCAGAATTTAGAATTAAACGGTGACAATCCACATTAATTAAAACACTCGAGTTTACCCGTAATCAGAAAAACCTGAACATGACTTTGCAAAGCATTCTACTAAGTAGATAACGCTATAATGTTTAGTGAATAAGTGTCAATTTATGGACAGTTCCTAGGTTTGGTAAGAAAACCCGAAAATCGAGTAAAATCCTCGCCACTGGCAATACCATTGCCGTAAATACACTATCACGATTTCTTTTTAAATGAAAATTGGATTTACCTTATGGTCTACCGTGGCTCGGATGAGATCTTCGTGGTTACGGGACAAAAGTTTTTTCAGTTGTGGATACACGAGCCCCGTCCGCATATTCGGAAAACCCCGACTCGCATCAGTTCGGCATCGAGAATAACAGCCTCGTAAAATCTCGACGTGTAAGACTAATACGTCGGCGATTTACGATTACGAGTCAAGGGGGTCGGATTCCATGTATATAGTTGGTAACAAGTTTGCTTGACCTCGACAGTAGCGCGCTAAGCGCTTACGGTTGAACTACACCTGTCAGTTTCAGTCGATAAAGTAGAACACTACTAATTAAAGCGATTTTAAAATTGGCGGGCTTGATAATTTAGATAGTTGAAGCAATTTAAAGTAACATTTTCCTATTTGACAACTTTTACTTACAACTACTAAACAAACAATAAGATTAGTGAATTTTTGTTGTAGGTAAATGTTGAAAAATGGAAAATGTCACCAGTTTTAACTGAAAAAGAAAATTAGTTGAAAAATAAAACACATTTTTAACAAGTTTAATTTATTTAGAATTACCATGTAATTACATGTGTCTCATTATCTTCTAACTGCATATTTTGAACATAACAAGCACTATATCACACACTAAATTACTGAAAAATAAAAATATAATATGATAACCAGCATAGCACATGACAATGTTTTTATTATTAAAAAAACCGGATATAGTTTTTATAAAAAGTCAAAGTAGTTAATTTATAAACACAATTGTTTTAATGTTTTAAATATCCCTTATTAATCCAAGGACAAATCATTCTAATTCTAATATTCTTATACTTATTGTCCCTTTAAGGCTTTTTCCATCTATTTCAATCTAGAATAGTTGTAATGCCTATTTCGGTTACAATAAGCCTCCAGCTTCAATACAGGTGGGCTTTGAAACTCACCCTAATTAAGAAACACATTTATGCTCATTCCAAAAATCTCCATACCCGGGAATATATCTAAAACAAAACAAAAATAAAGGTGCAGTGTGTATCTTAAAATTAAAAATAAACACGAGTCATAACCTTTTTAAATTCTTACATTTTTCTTGCAATAAAAGGTATTAAAATTTCAATAATAATAGAAAACATCTGATTTATGATCTTAATAGGTGAACTATGCAAAAATTAACAAGTTGACCTAAATAGCATATAAGTTTTTGAACATATTTGGGTATTATTTGATAAATATAATAATGAATATCACCCAAAAATTGAACAATAACTTTTTGAGCACAAATCATTCGCCTTTTTTCATCATGGTCTTTGAGTAAAACTAAGATCAGGTTCTATCTGGGATTCTACAATATTTGTTTGTAAATTGGCTTCACACATTTCGCTCACAACTCCTTTCATATTTTTGACCGCAAATGTTTAAAATGTGGATCCATTTATCTCTAGAGTAATAATAGCAGGAAAAACAAACTTTCTTGTTAGTTTTGTGAGAAAAATACTTAGGTACTTCCGCAATTAAATTTTTTTTTTTTTTATTTTTTATTTAACAATTAACGTGTCTCAACAGCTATGGTTATTGACACGATACAATGAAATATAATAAACTATAATTTACAAGATACATAATATCAACTTTCTAATAAAATTAAATTAAATTATACAAGTTGGTGTGCTGCAGAAAGTTTATCAGTCTTGGGTACTGTTCGGGGACTCCAAGGATATCTTTCAAAGAGTTTCCCAATCCAAGGCTTTTGCGGGTTTCTTCATATTGTGGACAGTCTGCCAGTATATGACTTATAGTGAGATTAGTATTATGGCAATATTGGCAGAACGGTGGATTATCCGATGCCATTAAGTAGCCATGGGTGAGTCTTGTATGACCTATCCGTAATCTTCGTATTAAAATTTTATTTTTTCTATTATTAGCTGGGAATTTAAAGGAGGTGACATCGGGTTTGATTGCATATAATTTGGTATTGGATCCTGTCCAGTATTCCGACCACTTATTCCAAATTGATTTTTTAAAAGAGCCTATTACATCTTTAAATAATTGAATATTTTCTAGAGGTATGTTACTTGTAATAGCTTTTTTGGCGTAATAGTCGGCCTTCAATACCCTCGTGTGAAGGGACCCAAATAATTGAAATACAAATTTCATTTTTTAATAATGTTTGAAAAGATTCATGAATATCTTGAACTAGTGGATGTTGAGAAAAAATGTCCTGGATAGATTGAATTGATGATAGGGAATCAGTGCAGATGGCCACCTTCTGACGCTCTTCAATTGGTTACTTCAGAGCTTTTGAGATACTAAAAAGTTCTCCTGAGTGAATACTGCAGTTGATTGGGAGTCTGAATTTTGCCAGTAATGCTTCAGCGGTTGTTACTGAGCCACCTACTCTATTTTCATTTTTGGAAGCATCCGTAAATAAAATTGAATTAAAATCATTTGTATTGATAATATGTCTAAAATATTGTTTATAAAGTACACTGGGAGTATTTTCTTTACTGTATTTGGATAATGAAATGTCTATATTGGGTAATTTTTTAGTCCAAGGAGGAGTATGAGATAAAGAGATAGGAGTGGTGTTAAACAATTCGATATTATCTAAAAGAGGCTTTAAGATGTGCAGAACAGGTTGAGGAATTTTTGAAGAGTTTGCATTAGAGTTTAATGAATGATTAAGAAGTTTATATACTGGATTATCAGAGTTTGAAGACACTCTAGTACAATAAGAAAGCAAATTAAGTTGATAGCGGAAATGTAAAGGAAGCTCGTGGGATTCACAATACAGGCTGTTCACTGGGCTGGATCTAAAAGCTCCAAGACACAGTCGCAAGGCAGAGTTATGAATAGTGTTGAAGGTGCGTAAATATGTTTTGGATGCAGATTAGATTAGATTAGATTTAATTAGGACTATGGGCCATATGGCCTCCCCCACCTCGACCTTTTCAGATCTATTGTGGATATCCTTTAATCATTGTTTAGAGTACCCTGTCTAATGCGGTCTTTTGTAGTAGACTCCATAGACTGGGAAGTAGTTCTCCGGTATAGCTAGTTGCCCTTGGTTTTTCTTCTCCAAGTGTAAGGAATCTCAGTCTTACTAGACCTTCGCAGTAGCACAATACGTGTTCTGCCGTTTCCTGTTCTTCTTGACAGAATCGGCACAAGACCGATATTGAACATATGTTTGTTAAGCCTACAATGCCCTGTTAATAGACCTACTTGTATTCTAGTATTTTTCCTATTAAGGCTTAGTAGATGCTCGGTGAGTTTAGACGATGGTTCCTTTAAGAACTTTTTGGCCTGTCTCTGTCCTGATGAGTTTTCCCACCACTCCTGAGATTTTTTAAACATCCACTGCTTTGTGCATGTTCTGGATGCAGATATAAAAACAGGGCTACCATAATCTAATTTAGATCGGATTAATGCTCTATAAATTCTTAACAGTGATTCTTCCTCCGCCCCCCAATAATAGTGAGATAAAGTTTTTAAAATTTTCAAGCGTTTAAGACAGACACCTTTGGTTTCTTGTATGTGCCGCTTAAAAGTAAATGAATCAGAAGTTAATGATTTTCTTAAGAACCTGCCTATAGTTAAATTAGTTAAATCTAACTTACACTTAATACAATTTACTCACCTACATTTGAAAAAAATATCACCTGAATTTGAAAATGAAATTAATATCAGGCTGACATATTTATAGCAACATAACCTAATTTATTTTCAAAGCCAGATTTACACCACCTACTAATATTTAAATTTAGCTTTAACTTTAAATTTATTAACTATTATCACTGTATTTGATCACACATTATTGCAAAGTGAAATTTAAAGGGGTAAATTCACATAATTAGTAAAATTATTGATTTCTTTGTCATTATTTTTGAAAACATATTTTTTTATGGGTCTAAAACGGGTTTGAATTTAGTGATAGCAGCGCACTAAGCGCTTACGGTTCAACTACCAACAAGGAAACAAATCCCGCCATTTATTCAAACCTGTTTTTATTTTTCTATGGTACGAGTTATTGATGCATTTATTTACAATTATAAATTTATATTAGTTTAATTGCGCTCTTAATTAGTTAAATAAATTCAAATTCAAAAAAGTCAATTGCATATTTAGCAAAAGTAGATACTTTTGAAATTATTGTCTCATACATATTTTTAAATTTAAAAATCTTTTATTTTAATGGAAAAGAACATTTAATGTAGATGAGTATAGTCAAATATAGAATATGTTTCTAAAATGGAATACCATTAAATTATTTAAACAAGCTTTAGTAACGCCGCGTAAATAGCATCCAAATGCAGTTTAGGATATCACATTTCCCCCAATAAATGCAACGTATGCCGTTTTTCTAATTTTTTCCTAATATCGAATATTTTACAGCTGTGTATTAATAATATTAGTGCACAAGGGGAGTATCAACTACCAACTTTTTATACAGAACATGTGTTTGAGCATAACCTAATCTCTTTATTCCTATTTGACAAATTAAACTAGTGTTGGGAGTAATCTTTGAATATGTTACCAAAAATTAAAATGACAATGTACTTAATATGGAATAGTTAAGTATTCTCAATTTAAAATTCATAAGTAAATGCAGGAATATGCTCATCTATACAGATAGCAGATAAGCACTACTCACCCTGAAGAGACCACGAATTTACTTTACTCAGGGTTAGTACTAGAATGCCACGAAGCTTTGGCCGAAGTATCCATCAACAATGTGGTCACCTTAAGATAGATCAAAGGTCACGCCACATTGAAAGGAAACCACTTGCTGATTCACTAGCCAATCAAATACTTTTTGGACCTGGCCCTTCTATTGGCCTGACAAAATCGGTAGTGACAAACCTAATTAAAGAACATTCACTTGTGAAATTCAAGGGAAGATGGGATAAAACAAGAAACTGCAGAGTTGCCATGGAGCTCTAAAGTTATCCTGATAACTCTGCAGCAAACACATACTTGACTATGACTAGACAGAATCTGCGCCTATTCACAGGCATTCTGACTGGTCATAGCCAAGTACGGAAGCATCTCCATATCATGAAGCTGTCAGAATCCGCACTCTGTAGAGGGTGCGAACAAGAAAATGAGACCATCGAGCATATCCTTTACGATTGCTCGACGCTCTCATTTATTAGAAGTTTGTGTTCGGCGAGTATCGGCTAACACCGGCCGATATAAGAGAAGCACCTCTTGGCGACGTTATCAACTACATTAAATCTGTAGACTGGCTCACGAGCTTGGAGGTGCTTATCATCTTAGGATGATGCAAAATGGGCCTAATGATGCCTAAGTGCCGTGGGGGGTAACCCAGCCTTCACACGTTACAGATACAGAAGGAAATATTTGCCACCTGTTTCTATTGCAATGGAAAGACACAGTCAGTGGTAAACAGTAGATACACTGCAAGAAATGTTTATGTTGGTGCCATGTCGACTGTTTAGGGACAGAAAAAAATATATTTTTGTAAATGAGTTAAATACGTTCTTCTGTTTTATTTTTTCTTAAAACGTATGTTCCATAGTAGGGACATATTCCGTATTAGGTACAAAAATACAATTTTCTATAGAATATTTTTCTGTGGCTCCTGTATAATAGATTTAATATTATGAATAATATATTATGGCTTTCAAAGAAGTAAAGAATCTATACAAAAAATAAGTGGATGTTAAGAAGATATTCTGAATTTAATATGTACAAAAACAAAACGGTATTCCATATTTTGCCAACTTCCTCTATATAAATACTAATTTAAACTACTTCTTTGATTAAGTTTAATTTTTTTTTACTTATCACCTCCTAATCGCACATTATTTTTAACAATCTTTGCCACGAATGAGGTGCTTTCGTTACTCTATTTTAATTCATTTTCTTCCACTGCAAATTGTCTTCTTTCCTCCCAGTGTTGGCTTTCTGCGACCAGTTGTACCTAGGTTGTACTGATATATGCTTTCCCCTTTTTGGTGTACCTAGAATTCTTTTCCTTTTATACAATAATCCTTTATATTATGGGATATTATTAGATAATGTCCCTAAATTCGTATTGTTTATTACCAATTTTATTAATTTGAGTCCCCGAACAGTACCCAAGACTGATAAACTTTCTGCAGCACACCAACTTGTATAATTTAATTTAATTTTTTAGGAAGTTGATATTATTAGAAAGATGATATTATGTATTTTGTAAATTATAGTTTATTATATTTCATTGTATCGTGTCAATAACCATAGCTGTTGAGACACGTTAATTGTTAAATAAAAAAAAAAAATCACGAAAAATAAATAAAAAATAATCTGAATAGATATGCATATACCTAGGCAATAAAAAAGGGAAACTAAAACTTAAACTGTCTAGTGATGAGTGATGATTGATGATTGATGTCCAGTAAACAAACATTTCTTATTTCATAAATCGCCGACGTATTAGTTCTAACACGTCGGGATTTTACGAGTTTGTCATTCGCGGCATCGAACTCTTCCGAGTATCTAACGTGTCGGCGGTTTCCGATCATAGCACCCATTGGGTCCTATGATTGAACGTTTACGTTATTAGTAACGTACATGTTAGGCCAGATTTTAAAAGTAACGAGGCAAGTTCTTATGATGGAAACCTGTTAAATTAGAACATAACAGGCGGAAAATAACAGTAATGTGTTGGAAAAAGTTTTCCATCGTACGAACTTGCCTTGTTACTGTTAAAACTCGGCCTAACATGTATGTTACGGATAACGTAAACGTTCAATCATACGACCCATTATATTATAATAGGTTATGTTAAGTTTGTGGTATGAGCATTTATTAGTAGATACTTCTTAGGGAACAAGATTATACGAGGAAAAAACTTAGGCACGTTTGTAATAGTTAAGGAAGAAAATTCAAGAGCAAGTGATAAAGAAAAGCTACTTCTCAGATTAATGGGTAGCACGCTTCTCATTAAACATTGTCCTACTCTAATATTTCAACAAACTTAACAATAGTCAAATTTTCCATGGTTACTATATTATTTTTGATTACACTGTTCTAGCAGTTTTACACATAGTGAGTAAAATAATCAGTTGTTAATGTCTTGAACAGTATAAATTGTTTCAGGTATCCAACGAAAGTAATCAAACACTAACTGAATTAATAAAAGGAAAGGTGTTTGAGATAGAAAAAGATGAAAAAGATGAATACTCTTCTTCGCAAGAATCTCTCGATAATATCCCCTCAGTGAAGATGGTCAGTAGTTCTACAGCGTTTCAGAATTTTTTGAAGAAATCGAACAAAAATTTGCAAGACAAAATTTTGAACTTTACAGATTAGTTTACTTGAAAAAATGATTATCTAATAAATTCTAAATTCTAACATTAATTGTGTTATTACTTATTATTAATAGTGACTTATGGTTGTATTTTTTTGAAAGGACGTAATTGAATTTTTTTTAACAAAATAATAGTTAATTATGTACCTAGTCAGCAAAGTGATCCTTTATCGAATCAGTCTGAGATTATGATTCGAGCGAGAAAAGCGAGCAAGGCGAGTAACATGCGTGTACGATAAAGATACTTTGCTGACGTGGTCCATACAAACTTCTACCGCCCACCGTAAATAATTATAATTAATAAAAGAGATATTATAACACATTTTAGAAAAATAACGGCGAATATAGAGAAATCAGTTGCATACTATTTCTGTCACACGGTCCTGGCTATGTTGACAAATATTAGCGGCAGATAAAATATTTGATTTTTACAAGATGCGCTACACAAGAAAGCTCCTCCCATCGTAGCGCCATCTACATATTGACCTATTTAAAATCAATTTATATCTAAAACTGAAGCTTTCCTAGTGCTATGCAAACTGACTTTTACAGAATTAAAATATCTATTTTTTCCTATAGGAATTTTTGACATTTTTCTATACATAGAAAATTTATGACATTTCCCTACATATAGGAAAGTGTCACAAATTCCTATAGGGAAACGTTCCTACAAGTCGAGAATAGACCCCCTGGGAGCTTTTATTGGTACACCTTCCGTCGTTCTAACCTGTCAGATTAAAACAAGAAAACCACAATTCCGAAGCAGAAGCGGATGATTAAAACGCACCTATTAAAAATATTGCGCCAAGATGTAGGCAACACGTAGGTAATAATAAATTTAATTTACTAGAAAAAAAAATTTGCTTTTTTATGTTTTTTGATGTTAAATGAAGAGTTACTACTGTTATTTTTCTTTATTGAACTCCAATTTAGTCATTGCAAATATTTTTTATAGGATCCTAAACGTTTAGAATAATGGCAGCATTTGATTCCTAGGGCTGATAAAGTACTGTCTAGTTATGATTCTGTTTGCGAGCTACACTTTTTAGAAGATGATATTTTAAAATTTGATGAGACTATTTTAACTAATGGTACTGTTAGCAAAATAAAAAGGGGACAGCTGAAATTAAAGGATGAGGTAATACCATGTACATTCCCAAATCTCCCTTTATACTTGTATTACAACAATAAAAAATCTGTTAACTGTATTTTATTTTACTCTTAAAACTATATATTGGTTCAATTCACAAAAAAATTTGCCACAAAATTTCAGCAATTAAGAAACCTTTTCGAATTTGGTCATACATAACAAAATTGTATTTTATATAGATAAAATTAAATAATTTAACAATTAAAACATGCAAGACTTATTTAGAAATAAATACAACAGTATGTTCTGTGCTTTATTTAGCTGTAAACAAGTTTATTTTTTTTATTTTGACAAAATTATGTATTATGTAAAAGCTCAATTGACGTGTGATTTTGGGACCGTATTTTGAGCATGCCGATTCGCCTCCTTACCTCTAGTCTTCATAGGTCCGACACGCCCAACATAGGGCGCGGCCATTTTGAACCCTGTGATACAGTTTACAGCTAAAGAATCAGATCGCTCACTCTGCGTCGGCACTTTTGATCTCAATGTTTCAGTTTATACACTGTGCAACTCGGATAATACAATAAATGACAACCACCTATAATAAAACAGCAGTCTTCTACATATCCTGAATTTGTATCCCTGGAGTGGATGTTATTTTGGAACTTTCAACTGGTCCGAGTGAGTTAACTGATTCTTTAGCAATAAACTGTGACTTCAAAAATAATATTCACTGACACTGACAGCAGCAAGCAAAATATCAGGTGCGTTTTAATCATCCGCTTCTGCTTCTGGAATTGTCGGTTTAGTCGTTTTAACCTGTCAGATTAAAACAAGAAAACCGACAAATCCGAAGCAGAAGCGGATAATTAAAACGCACCTATTAAAAATATTGCGCCAAGATGTAGGCAACACGTAATAAGGGTTCAAAATGGCGGAGTTTTCTATCTCTTTTTAAAAGGTACTCAGAAAGCTGCGCAGTGCGACCATTCTCCGTATAGTAAGAGAAAATCAATGTATGTGCCTTGTTTACATAAACAACTGTCGTATGATAAGGTCCATAATCGTCTGAAACGTTTTTTTTTATAAAAAGCGGTATAAAGCTGTAACGCTTTAATTTGAACACCCGGTATAACTATAGGGGCTGCATCATCTCACTGTGTTCTGTATACCTACATCACGAAGATTAAAAACCTTTTTAGGAAACATAAAAAAAACCATTCATTGATATATCTATATCTATTTTCAAAAAGTAACAATAATAGAGCAGATGCGTTTTTTCGTTACACATGACATTATTATACTCAGTAATAGCACAGAAGAAAGAAACAATACAGAAAAGAAAGTAATGGTCGGAACTTTGAAGTTAAAGGGATAGAAATATTTGACCTTGAGTTCCACCACAGAGATACTCTGACAAAAAGGTAATTATTCACAGTACACGCGAACCTGGCTATTCACTGAACCTACACTGCGAAAACTACATTTCTCTTTTACATAATTATGCGTCATATTTTATGAAAATTTGCATGAATGTATTTGAATCTATTCTCGATTTAAGTAAATTATTTTTTGATTTGTAGAACTTCCGACAGAGGTTTCAAAAATAAAAATTATAAAGTTTTAAACAATAGTTTATTTTACCTTGTCATAATAAACTATTAATATTGTGCTACAAATCTCACCAGTCATTTATGATCCATAAGTATAAATCAATTGGGATCATTGTTAAAAAATCATTAGATAAAGCGTATTTTAGGAATTTTATAAATAAAAAAAAAAGAAAAATATAAAAACGTGTATTTATGCAATTGATAAGTTTACAATCTAGTGCATGTATTTTATTAAAATAGAATTGTTTGAAAATTAAAATAATTAAAATTGTTTGCACAGATTTATAGAGCAAGCCTAATTTATAATACATGGATAAGTAAGTAGCTTTATTAAAATAGCTATATCCTAATATACAACAAAAATATAGAATAATTATATATAAACGGTACTTATAAAAAAATAATAAATAATGAGTAATTATTTTTCTTCTTTTTGCACCAAACAAACGTTTTATCAACGTTGCTATCTTCAGTCGTAGTCTCTGCTTTCTTGGAGTGTTTGACAATAACACATTACTCGTTTGAATTTGTGCTGCTACACAAGGTAGAGAAACAGATGGTTGACTATGCACTTGTTCAATAAATTCTACTTCTGCTGAAGTTGAGGGTAGACACAAGTTGTCTGTGCCTTCTTCGCCATGAACAACAAATTCCTCTAAAAAAAAGAAAGAGAAACCAAATTTTTATCAGGTCAACTAGTGTCAAGAAGGTGCATCATTCATCAGAATTAAATGTTTGAGTCACACTTTTTAGGCAGATGAAATTTAAAATAATTTTATAAAATGTGAATATATTTCTGTGCCTAGGAGGTAAGCTGCACTGTCATTTTAGTCAACTTTTTAGTACAGCAGATTAAATGTTGTTAAATTATTACATTTCAACTAGATATGCATTTAGACACACATTTATTGTCACAATGTTTATATTTTTTACTAACCTAACTACTAAAAGTACTTTATTTTAATTTGCATAAGTTGTTGTATGTCGACATAGTGCAGTTTACCTCCGAGGTAGTTCTACAAAATGGGTTGATATTCTAAGATTATTAGGACTTATCATTTTATTTTTTAAACTACTAAATGTAATGTAAACAAGTATTAGAAATTAAAATTTAAAAAAACCGACTTCAAAAACGTGCAGATGCCATCACCACATCTTAACCAAGTTTATATGGGACCACTCCTGAGGTACCCCCTTACTAACAAAAAAAGAATCATATAAATCGGACAAGGTGGTAAAGCATTATCGCTAAACATACATAAAAAATGAAGAGTTTGAGGATTTTCTCATAGACCCAATTATTAGATTTTGACTAAATTTATATGGGACCACCCCTGAAATATCCCCTTTCTAATAAAAAAGAATCATTGAAATCGGACACCGTGTTAAAGAATAATCGCTGAACATACATAAAAAAAAAATATCGCGACGAATTGATAACCTCCTCCTTTTTTGAAGTCGGTTAAAAAATGACAAGACAAGTAGCAAACTTTTTTAACATTTAACTATAAATTGTATTTATTTACCTTGCAAAAAAGTGACTCTTTTCGTAGGTTCTGAATGGGGAAATACTGTTGGGAATGCATTTGCAAATAATCTTGTTACTGACTGATAAACGAATTTATCCTGGAAGTGTAATTCACAAATTTTGTAATTTTTACTTAAGTGTTCAACACCCTTTCCCAATAAGTTCTCTCTATTTGCTGCCTTAAGCCACAATTCAAGTCTGAAAAATACATACAATCATTGTACTAGATACCATGTTATGGCAAGGTCAATTCCTATTTCACCCTCAAGGTTTTATACCTATCTCACTGGATCTTTCACACGAGTGAACAATGCTTCTTTGCCACCTGTTCTTGAGGTATATCCACGATAAATACAAGTATATTCTCCTCCTCTTTGACGCGGCATTGTTTGTAAACCTACTTAATATGTACAATAAAGTCTTAAATTAACAACTCCACAATTAAAAACATCAACAAAAACTAAACATAAACCACTAAAAAAACGTAAAAGTTATCAGAATATTCGCTAAAAACAGCCAAAAATCCAAAACGACAAAGACACGACTGGAAAAAATTGGGTACGTTCACCAGACATCAGCAGTTAACTTTAAGCGCTAAACGGCTGGGTATTAACCCGAGAATACCGATCAAGGAGAAGCGACAGTAGCTGTCGGTGCCGTTGCGCTGTCGTTGGGCAATATTACTGAAATATATTGATACTTTACACCCTAAAACCATTGAGTGATACGCGATAGGAAAGTCGAGTCGACTCGGTAAAAGGCCTGCGGTTTCAAATTGGTCCAATTCACGATGCTTTGTAAAGCATATATGAAGATTCAGAATTCGATAATATGATCAGAGACGAAGCTAGCGGATTATTAAATAATTTAAAGTAGTTCAAATTTATATGCTCTGTTGTGTTCTGATACAAAATTTTGAGTCATATTAACCCCATCAGCAAACTTTTGCAAACTGTAAATTTTAATATGTCACAAGCTATTGATATGCTTAGCAACTGCAAACTCTTCTTTGAAAACCTGAGATCAGATGAAGCTTTTGAAAGCATCATTTTAGAAGTAACCGAGCTTGCTTAAGAGATTGACGTGGAAGCTAATTTCGAAACAACCACACCACGTCATCGTGTCAGAAGCAAAACAAGAACGTTTTTGTATGAGGGCCTGGATGAACCCGTTCAAGACCTCAAACAAAAATATAAAATAGATTTTTTTTCACACTACAGATCAAGCAATAAATGCCTTGGAAACCAGATATAATTTGCTAAATACTTACAGTAATTATTTCAGCTTTTTGCATAATATTTTTGGTCTAAAAAATGCCCAGAAATGAGCTACTGGCTCATTGCAAAGATTTGGAAGTAGTTTTAACTGATGGAAATTCAAGCGATCTTAACGCCCTGGAACTAGCCCATGAAATGAGTATTGTTTCGTCATTATTAACAAAAAAGGAAACCCCTGTTGAAGTTCTCAAGTTTATCGCTACACTTAAATTTGCACCAAACTTCAGCATAGCATTAAGAATCCTTCTTACATTGCCAGTCACTGTGGCTTCAGGGGAAAGAAGCTTTTCAGAACGATGCAGACGCAAAATCGTCTCAATGGATTGGCAATAATAGCTATAGAACACCAAATTATTGACAAATTAGACTTGAAATCACTGGTTCGTGAATTTGCCGAAAGAAAAGTTAGAAAAAGGGCATTTTAATTACTTTGGTTAGTTAGAATTTATTTATATGAGATATTAGTTTAGTTAGCATTACTACATTTTAATTTTTGTTATTTTGTCTTAAGTGCTAAATTAATTATCTTGTTATCTGATGATTGAGTTTTTAATAAAACATTTTTTTTATTTTTTTTTTTTCAATGTTTTCTTGACTTTCTGATATGGTCGCATGAGATGTACTTAAAAAAACGAGGGAAGGAGGCGGGCACAAAATTAAGGTTTTGCCCGGAACGCCAAAATGTCTAGGGCCAGCCCGAAATACTGCAGTATAACATTTTACTAAAGGAGCTTTTCTCAAATGTGAATTTTTTACTAAGAAAGGGCCCCCAAAAATAAAACAAAAAAAAACCATTCTGATTTTGTATTAGAATTTAAATTGGTATTGCTACTGTTTAAGTACTTTTTTATCTTCTCTTAATTTTTTGACAAAATTCAGAATCAAAATACATTGGTATTTTTCCTTCCTTCAATATTTTTTTGAGCCTCTTGAACTCTTCTCCCCATTGCATAATTTTTCTAGCGAATGTTCTTTTATCTTTTATACATATACAATATTTCGCTTGTTCGGCCTTTAAATTTTCTTTTTTCATTTCCGATTCCAGCCTTTTCAATTCCGCTTCGTCTTCTTTTTTGTCTGCAAGCCACTGAATGAGCTTTAGGGTGTTGTCATCAATGTCTATTTGGTAGAGTTGTTGGATTAGAAAAGAGAGCAAAATTTGTATCTTTTTTGCGTTGATAATTTCGCTCAGTACTTTTATAGTACTATAATACAAATTTTTTTCCAGTTTTGTATTATATTTCGTCAAAGTTATGGGATTATTTATCACGGATTTAGTTAACAAACGTTCTGTAAAAGGTTGATAATAATTGTATTGGAATCTTATTATGGGCTGGGCCTTTCCAGTTTTAACTACAGTAATGTTTTCTTTTTCACGGTGCTGCTCTATATAACTGTTAACCATATTATCGGTGAAAAATTCTTCTCCGGACATTGTTTTTTTGATAGCGTATAATTTTTTGTACGCGTTACTTTCAACATGATTACAGTCAGAAGCGTTCACCGGTCCTACAATGTAGTTTCTGTTTACTCTACAGATACCAGAATAATCCACGAAAAAGTGTTTCAAGTAACTATCTTCAGCATGAACGAATTGTTTCGCAAATTCAAAAAAGTTGTTGTGAAAAGGGCTAATATCGAATGTGCACTTGAATGGAAGACAGCATTTCTTACAAGTTTTTTCGAATGTAACGCATTCGGTATCAATGGTACATTTAGCCTCAGGATCGATTCGTAGAGTACACAAGTTATCTTTGGATTTCTCAATCACTAAATTGTCTAATATTACTTGTAAGAGATCACCATCACTGTAAGAAACAGTAGCGTAGTGAGGATGTTCGTACTTGTAAAACAAACTGATATACACGTATCCGTCTACAAGTTCGGTTGCTACTAATACATTGGTTGTAATTCTAGTCCCATCTGGATATTGAACAGTTTTGGTTGCTGTTCTATGTAAGATACATTTGAATCCATCTTTTCTTTCATAATAGATCTCCTCTTCGCAAAAATCATTTTCAGATATCGTATAGAACAATTTCTTTTGACTAATTTTATTGCCTTCTAGTACTATTTTTGTCCCGTCAAAATTCAACAAGCTGGTTTTTAAATATGGTAGTTTAGTACTTTCCAAAATTTTTATAAATTCTTGATTTATTATGTAACCTGAAACAAAATGATTTACATTTAAAATATTTAAATGAACACTTGCTTGTATCTCAATAACTTTTTTAACAAATTTTTCCAACAAATTCGAAAAAGAAAGATTACAAATTAACCGACGAAAAAATACCATTTTTTCAGGTAATTACTCAAAAATAACAGATATATTGACCGTACAAAATTTCAGTTGCTTCGTGTGACCTGTAAATTGCAGAAAAATAGCTATTTATGTAACCAATTACGAAATGCCTTATTCACCTTGCAAAATAAAAATTTGGCAAAACTGTCATATTTAGTTTGACCCGTAGATTCCAAAAAATATAAAATATCAGGGTGATCTATTTTAAATATTAAACTGGAAGTCGGCTATTTTGTTAAAGTGTCAATTTGAAATCATGTCTAGTACGTTTGTCCCAAATTTGATCCAAATCGCCTAATAAGTTAAAAGAGCTATTAACGTGGACCTAGGCAAATTTAGAAAATCATACAATAAAATTATTTTTCAACCACTTGTCGGGATAATTGAAATATAGGGAAAATTTTCGTTTTTCTCATGTTATTATCCTGTAATCAGGGAAAATGTTGAAAATAATAAGTGAATGCCATTCATTTAATTCACAAATAGAAGCTACCCAAACAGCACACATTGGACGTCCACTTTAGATCCATTTGAGGGTCAGAACGTCCATATCTGTATTCGGACATCCAGTGCACGGCGTACTATAAAGGTGTTTCAACTCCCTGAAAAAAACATACCAAAACCGGTCGTACTTAGGGCAAAAATCCGCTAGGTTCGCTAGTGTTGTTACGGCGGAAAATTGCGGCAATCTTTTTATCTGTCAGAAAAAGTGCAATCATAAAAGTAGTTCTTCTATGGTGAAAATTCGAGTTTATATGAAATGAAAAATGACAAAACTATCAGAAGAAGTACAGATGAAAAAATTAATGGTCAACAAATAAGTTTATTGTTATTGATGGTTGCTTATAAGTGTTTTTTTTTTAAACAAGCTACACTGATGTGTGCGTTTATATGATCAAAAAAAGTGTTCAAGATTTAATAAATGTGCTCCAATTAAGTTACAAGTTGCTGCCAGAGACTTGCTACTAAATAAGTGAAATGGCGGTGTTTATAAAAAACAGCTAATTTTGTTTTATGTTCAAATATTACCTTTGGCTTTGGCAAAAACAGCAATACAGTGGGTTACTGATTATAAAATGAAGAAGTGGACCTTAACTATGGTACTCAGATTGAAGCTTATTATTTTTTAAGTGAGTTTTGTGATTTTCATTGCCCAGATTAAAGATATTCTATAAACATTTAGTGTATTACCTACTATAATCAAATCCATACATAGTGATTGGAATTACAAACATTTCTGTGAAATAGCATTATACCAAAATAATGAAGTCTCACTGGACTGGAGTATATATGTTTCCAAAGATCAGTAAGTACCTACCTATATCAATTATTATTATTTTTATTAATAAGTATCAGTAATAAATACATCTCAAAGAACAACAAGGTTGTAACTGTACTTTTTGGAAAAAATGAGATTGGTAGAATATATTAATTAATTTGTTTTTGTGACCAATATGTTCATCTGTTAATTATCAATGTTGTTTTATCGAAGCACTAAAGTTATTCACATGGTTCTATCTGCATGTACATAGAACTTATACAGTTTTTAGCAAGTGTCATTATAGTAGTTAGATCTTCGTTATTCCCTAATTCCTATCAAATGTAGTCTCCATCCTCCACAATTATATTAAGATTAAAGGCCAGGTTTTTTACCTCTGAATAAAGTTGAAAGTAACTCAGAGGTTAAAAAATCTGTCATTAAAAGAACAGTGAGTTTTAGAGCATAAAACGTATTAAATATAATGGGTATTTTTTTATTAAATTTTTTGTTTTCAAACAATTTTGATTGAAAATTATAAAAAAAATTATATAGGATACCTAGAAAGATTTATAATATAAAACAACATTTAAAAATTCTGAATTAACAGAAGTATGTATTTACCCAAACTAAATACTAGAAACAAAGTTTTAACTGGCAGTTACTACTATGCTTTATCAAATATTCTAAAAAATGTAGGTCGCTTAGTTCTTTCTGCATTTTTTATCACATAGGATTTTCTCTTAAATTAGAGTTAGAAACACAATGAAAATCAAACCAGTTATTGGCTATACAAACTTCAACTATGATTTCCAAAAAATAACTGTCTGTCTAGATACAATCTTGTTATCCTAATTTGACAGATGTAGAAGATTTATACAAATGTGAAAAACGTTTCACATTCTGCAATGCTAGATGAAATCTTAATTAGGCATCAAATTTGTAAAATGTTAGATAGTATGTAGGTATATAGAGGGAAAATAAAAAATATAATTATAATGAACTTTTAAATTTTAATATAACTGGAACAAAATATTCAGTAATTAAAAATTTTGATAGGAATTAAAAATTATGCTTGAGTATAAATGTTGTGCTTGTTTTTAAGTGGTTTCGATTTACTTTAGGTTTGTTCCAACAATGCTCAGAAATAAGTTACTGACATCAGGATTCTGCACAGTAGATTATTGAGACTGCAAAATTGTGTACTACCCAGTGATTTGTTTCTGATCACAGAACAGACCTTTTATTCAATAAGCAATCGAACAAGTTAAATGTGTATTTGGAATTTTTTAAATTTTACAAATCTGGAGATTGAATATGGATTTTCAAATTATGCACATTTTGTAGTTTTTAATAATGCTTTTTTTTTTTAGTTTCTTGTTCATTTAATAAAGGTGCTTTTTTGTATACGGGGTGATAATTTTTAAGCAGAGGCGTGCAGCACCCACAAGATTAGTGCCAGAATTAAAGTAAATGGGTAATCATCTAGAAATATGGAGTGGATTCCCTCCACAAGATTTTCAAGAACTTGTAAATACAATGTTTTAATGAATTATTGCCGTTATCAAAGTTAAAGATGATGAAACACTGGTGAAAATTTGTAAATATTTAACCCTTTCAGTGTATTTATCCTTCCAATCTTCCAATCTTAATTAACCCTGAATTATACATCTGTTAATTTTGGAAGAAATTTTTTCTTTTTGGTTTATTTACTTTATTTGCATTACTTTTAAGGATTAATATTATAAAAAAAATTATTTTCATAGTAAATTTTTGTTTTTGTAATGTCCCTGACCAGGGACATTATGTCTTGGAGTAATAAAAAATACTATAAAAATATTTTAATTTACTTAAAATAAACGAAGAAAACATACAATTTCGAGAACTATTAAACTAAAAATACAAAATTCGTCCATTTAATGCTGTGAAAAATGGTGTACCTGGAGGACAGATCTACTATAGTGGTATTTTTTTTTTAATGAAAGTGGAACTAAAAGGGTTAAACAAAATAAAAGAATTTATCAGATTTATGTATGATTTGTTCTTGTAGTGTCAGTCACTGTAAATACTAGAAGGGTGCTAATTGAAACAGGACAGGGCTCGTATAGTTTTATTAAAATGATTATTATATTACATTATTGAAATATATAATGTAAAACAAATTGTTGTACTGTTTTTCTGAAATCGGGAGTGTTGTCAGGTTTGTTACTGTCTACTGCTAACTGTACAAGCGAACACAATAAACCTACTTATTGAGTACATTAATATGAAAAACTCATAATAAATCTGGAAACTATACATTTGAAATTTTCCTACTTATTTTTTCATTACTGATATTATCTAATATACCATTTCCTATGCTTTTATCTAATATATCATTTTCCACAAATAAATATAAAGAAATAATTAGTAAAATTATAAAATGAGTTCCAATTAAATAATGAACTATATTATTAATTTAAATTGTTAATATAAGAAATGAATAAATTAAGTAAAAGTGTAATAATGGGAAATGTGTAAATTGTATTTATTTCTAATTTTAAATAATTTTGTGTGTATTGTTAATTTTCTTTCTAATGTAAAATTAATAAATTAATAATTTTAACAAAAATTTAATAAGATGTTTTATTTGTGTTAGAATCCGAATACAATAAGAACACTGCTGTGTCATAATGATTACTTCGAATTTCAAATACATAGTATCTATAACTTATCAATAAATAAATATTACGTTGTTAGGTATAAAAAAATATTTCCTATATTCCTAAAAGATACACTTCACCCCCAGTGGATAACTTCGGTAACTGTATCAGCAATACTTTCCACATTCTCGTCTCCTTTGAGAAGTAGTCCCATCGTAAGTAATGAAAGCAGGAACAGGATTTCTTATGTAGTTTTTTTTTTTATATTTGCACTGCACATTAAATAATGGTAATCTTATAATTGAAGGGTCTGGAAATGCACTTATCTGCACCATTCTTGTTCCAGCTAGTTCTGATAGTTGGAATTGTAACATATAGTTGCAAGGTTATATTTAATTATTTGGAACCAGGGAATAAGCATATTGAAATAACTTTTTATCATCTATTTACCAATTTTTACATGAATTAAAAATAAAACACAATTCTGTAGATTTTCAAGTAATACTTTAGAAAATTCAAATTTGTGTCTAATTGTAGACTTCAGTGTGGAGTGGTGTGAATATGCAGATTTCTAGACCCGTCAACTACAAGATTACCTTAAACAACACTTAAAATTGCAACTCCTACTTTTATCTTTTATTTACTTTTTCGCCGGATAGACACTAGCGAACCTAGCGGATTTTCGCTAGGAAGTACGATCGATTTTATTAGCGTTTTCATTTGTTTTTAAATGGGAGTTGATGCACCTTATAGTCAGTCCACCGTGATCCAGTGTACGTCCGTTTATGATCATTCATTTGACAGCTGCATATTGATACCCAGAGGACGTCTGTTTTTGGACTTAATTTTATATTTAGAAGTATTTTGACGTCAAGTGGACGTTCATCTTAGATCATTATTTATTTAGCCTACAGGATAGTATCCATCTATAGACTGTCTTTTGTTTTAATATTATTGGTCATTA